AGGGATAAGTGACTGACAGTGACACACTGTGCTGTCCCATTGACACTTCCAAGCACAAAGCTACAACATGTGGCATTTATAAAAATCAGTGTGTGCACTGAAGACTGTGACTGGCTCCCTGCTCTCATTCTTTCAGAACACTGGGATGTTGTAGCCTGATCTAAATGTAAAGCTGCCCAAAGCAAAAGCTTTGGAACTTTGCATTTGCACATTAAACTGGCTGCTAACTATGCAAAGCAGCTACAAATGCAGGTGGCTTTAAACAAGACACTTTGCAAAAGGAGAGTTTTACTGAAGCATGCTTGTGTTTTGGCTGGCATCACATTTAAATGAAGCCTGTATTTCATATTGCAACATGAAGAACACCTAAGGACACCTGTATCTCAGAAGTCATCGTATTTATAGAGCATTAAAATTAATATTGAGGCAGTTATTTACCTACCATAAATCACAGCCAAATCTTTGTATGCCTCACATAGAATCACATAGAGGTCAGTGGATCTGCATGTATTTATACACCAGAAGCTTCTTCCGAAGAGTGTGTTGGGCAAAGAAATTGAGGTCCCGGTAGATGTGTATAATGTGTATATTCTAGGTATATTCAGGTAGTTTCCGTTAAATTTTATGCTTTCCCCTACAGATTTTATGACAAGAAATACCAGGTGTTTCTGAAACTTGTGGAACATCAGCAACAGTATAAAACCATCATGCAGAGCACATAGATAGCATGAAAGAGAATTGCTTATCACATTCATGAAATTTGACAATGATTTTATCTTTCAAAGTCAATGATAATCCAGTGTATTTTATCTTTCAAAGTCAATGATAATCCAGTGTATTTTATTGCTAATAAAGAATCCTGAATGTTTACAGCCTACTGAGTTCTCCATGTCTGATCAGTCAGTGAACCAGACACACACACAGGAGGAAAAATGCCAATTTTTAATGAAACCAAAAAAGGGAAAGCCTTTCTAGGAATCTGTAATCACTCATTGTACTCCTCTGCTAGGCTCAAAATCAGAGAAAGTGCTCTCATGTTGCAGAGGAGCACTTGCTATGATTTCAAGTCTAGTTGAGAGTAAAAATTAATATGGATGCCTAGAGAGGTTTCTACATGACTGAAGTCCACTGAAGTCTAATCCCAGATTAGAGTAAAATGGGGCAGGATTGCTACCTAGCTTCTTAAACCCCCTCCCAGTAACCAGGGCCAGGAAGTTTTGCAACTCTAGTCCTCCCTCTTGTCATCCCTGACCACAGTAAAATCTCTTGATTCCAATGAAAGCAAAGATTACAAGATGCCATTGTCAGGAGCTTGTGGAACAACTTTATAGTTAAAATCTAGATAAAAGAAAGCACAAACAAGCTATTAAAACCTCTGGAGAATAGGAAGGTCTTAACCTGACTCTGGAAAGAAAACGGTATAGGATAACTGAGAAGGATGATAATAAAAAGGACACTACTACTGAAAAGGCCATCTGTCCAGTTAATGTCCACAATGGTATAGGAATCTGGAGATGAGTCTTCTTTCTAAATCCATGTTTGAGCAAGTTCACCTGACATCCTGTTGCAGCAGCAGAACTTCAGGTAGAGAAAGAGGAACTTGATAATCCTAAAGATAGCCAAAAAGAAAACATAAAAGTCCAGCTCAGTTTGTTCAATGCCTTTTAAGCTCAGTGGTCCAGGGTATTTTTCAAAACAGTCAGCCTTACCCTTGCCTGGAATGAAACACAGATTTGACTTAGCTGTTCACATTTTACTGACTACAGTCATGAAGCAGTCCATGTCAAGGAAACAAAACGTAATTGTTAATAGGTGGCCTGCAATTCCTACCCAGAGTAGGGCTCTACTACTAACAGTGTGTCCTTCAGCTTGTTTTGTCTGTTTTGTTTGTTTGTTTCAGCGTTTATCCTGCCCTCCCCTGCAAGCAGGTTCAGGGTAGGTTACCACCAATGCTCCCTCTAAGCTGTGGAGTCTTGTGAGCAAAAATCGTACTTTGTGAGCTACCAGCGTTAAAGTTGTGAGCGAGCGATTTGGCTACTGCGTAAATTAGTTTGCTCTGGAGCTTTCCTTCCTGAGCTGAGACAAAAATGTGAGAGCCGGAGGCTAAAAAACTGTGAGCGAGCTCACACTGACTCAGCTTAGAGGGAACACTGGTCACCACCAATGCTCCCTCTAAGCTGTGGAGTCCTGTGAGCAAAAATTCTACTTTGTGAGTTACTGGCATTAAAGTTGTGAGTGAGTTTGCTCTGGAGCCATCCTTACTGAGCTAAGAGAAAACTATGTGAGCCGGAGGCTAAAATAGTCTGAGCTAGCTCACACTACCTCAGATTAGAGGGGAACACTGGTCACAACATTCTAAAAACCATACAAAATTTTAAAAAAGAATACAATTATCAACAATTTGTACACATAAAAACCTTAGGAGGCACCAGTTAAACGATTTACTGCACAGGATGAGGTTCCAGTTTTGATGTAGCTGTAGATCTAAGCAGTACAGGAAGAGTGGGTGGGTGAATAAGCAGCTAAAATGGACTGTAGTGCTGCTGGGCAAAGCTGAGCAGGGCAGGGGAAGGGAGGCTATTGTGGTTGAGTTGTTCCTGCCTCAACCAAAGGCCTGGTGGGATATCTCCATTGTACAGAGCCTGTGGAACTCTATTAAATCCCGCAGGGCCCAGATCTCACTAGGGAGGGCGTCCCAACAGGCCGGTGCCAGAGACGAAAAGGCTCTAGCTCTGGTCAAGGCTAGGCGGACATCTTTGGGGCTGGGAACAACCAATACATGTTGGGCGGAAGAGCGCAGAGTCCTTCAGGGGCTGTATATAGAGAGACGGTCCTGCAGATATGTTAGTCCCAGTCCACATAGGGCTTTAAATGTAAGAACCAAGACCTTGAATTTTATCTGGAATTCAACTGGAAGCCAATGCAGCTGGCGAAACATCGGATGTATATGTGCTGTTAGGGCTGTGGACACGGACTGCTGCATATTGGACCAATTGCAGTTTCCACGGCAGTCTCAAGGGTAGCCCTGCATAGAGTGAGTTACAGTTATCCAGCCTGAAGGTTACTGTTGCATAGATCACTGTAGCTAGGTTGCAGAGGGGACCAGTTGCTTGATCTGCCACAGATGGAAAAAATGCAGATCTTACAACCAATGCTCCCTCTAAGCTGTGGAGTCTTGTGAGCAAAAATTCTACTTTGTGAGCTACTGGCATTAAACTTGTAAGTGAGCAATTTGGCTGCTGCATAAATTAGTTTGCTCTGGAGCCATCCTTCCTGGGGTGGTATCTGGATGGCTGTCTATCATCAGATACAGCTGATAGCTGTCTATCATCAGATACAGCTGAGTCCCACCAGCATACTGATGACAACCCAGCCCAAACCTTTGGACTATCTGGGCAAGGGGGCACATATAGATATTAAATAACATAGGAGAGAAGATCGCCCCTGGTTGAAGCCACATACCAAATGGTAACGCAGTGATGTCCTCTCCTCAAGTGCCACCCTTTGTCCTCAACTGTGGAGAAATGAGACCAGCCACTGCAAAGCTTCCCCACATATCCTCAGCGAAGTGGTGGGTCAGGGGGTTGTACTCACTGTGTTGAATGCTGACATTGGGTCTAATAACAACAGCAGCACTGACCCACCCTGATCCAGATGATGCCAAAGATCATCCGTGAGGGTGACCAGTGCCATCTCTGTACTGTAGCCGGGCCAAAAACCAGACTGGAATGGGTCCAGGATAGAGGAATCTTCCAGGAAAGCCTGGAGCTGTTTGGCTACCGCTCTCTCAACTACATTACCCAGGAATGGAAGGTTCGAGACCGGGCAGTAGTTGGCTGGATCCAAAGGGTCCAGAGATGTTTTTTCAAGAGCAGTCTCACTACCGCCTCTTTTTAAATCGCTGGGATTTCTGTTAGTGTTTGCCGTACAGTCTTTCCAACATACTCTTCAAAGGAACTTCTTAAAAATTTGGTGTATGCACACACATTTGCAAAAAAGAAACAACACAATTCTAGAATGTTTTGGAATGATAAATATTTATATATACACACACATTCTTATGTACAGCTAATGTATAAAACAGAATTCCAAGCACTCATTCCATAGCACAAACAAGTAACACAGAGTATATGTGTACTCACTAAGATATGCATGTAAATGTGTGCACATGTACTTATATCTAATATAAAATTGCTCTGTGTTCTGTCCTGATTTTTTTATTACAGTATACAAGAAGCCCTTCTTGGAAACAAAAGGGCAGGGAGTTACTACCATGAAACTCAGCATGAGGAAGTGATTTGAAAAGAGCTCTGTTTTCTTATATCCAGAAGAACCAGATAATAATGTTCTCAAGTTCCTTGCCTGATCCTTCTAATCCCTTTTGTTTCATTTGTGAGCTCCTGGATTTTGTTTAGATTTTTTCTTCAGTTTTGAATTGTAGTTTGATTCTGGGTAAGTAACGTTATGAGTGTTAAAAACTGTTGGCAAACCTACTCATATTGCAATCACTGCACATGTGTTTGCACAAACATAGAATCCCAAGTTCATCTCATCTTAGTAAGCTGTCGAATGCCCCATAAACTGAAAAGCAGACAGTTTTCTTTCTCCTGCACACCTATCCCATGAAGGTTACTTTGCAGATGCCACTGCAACAGAACATTTTCAAATTTAAATGTACTGAACTGTTTATAGCAATATTAGAGTTGCTGAGTTGTAATCCCCGTGCCTCCCAGAAGTCAAAAGCATACAGGCAAAATTGGCATTTGTTAATAAAACACCACCTTCACTAGTACATTTCTGGTGACTTACAGACATCATTGGGTATTAGTCCATGGTTAACATTAGACATTTCATCCAACATATTTTTCGTAAACACCAGTGTGGCATATCAGCCCTTGGAATTCTTCAAAGCTAAGTCTATCCCTGTTGTTTCCAAAAGTCAGGAGAGCTCATCATGATCTGATCAGTTTTCATGTAGGAAGAAGCAGTCCTTGAGTCCACTAAGATTCCAACAGGATATTTTGTGTTGTAGAGTTTGCCAAACTTGCTCCTTCTGATGCCATTTGTGAACAAATGTTTATCATAGAAATTATAAGTAGGAACACAACAACCAGGTCATCCACTGTACCCAGGATTCCACAAAGAGGTTCTGGCATCACATCAAATGGAGACGTTAGGCACATAATAGTTCCAAAAGAGCAGATGACAACTCTTAGGAAGAAGATCCCGACAAGACCACCCAAGGTAAAAACTCCTCGTATGGCAAGGTTGAGAAGGAATGGCATGTCATAGAGGTAATCTGCAAACTAAATATGAAATTCAAGTAGGTAATAAAACCATCATTTTTACTGCAAATTTATATTGCTTCCTTGGATCTGTGAAACAGTGGGTGTGCCGGGTATCTGGGCTGACTGAACATCAGCCTTTTTATTGGCAGGACTGGCAGCTAGCCCAGGTATTACAAAACCAGACAAACCAGTAACTAGCAGCGTGGTAGCAACCCTTTCCCCTCCTTTACCTAATTTTCACAGTTATTTCTTACTGTTGTTACCTATTCTTGGAACTCACTGTCCTGTTCAGAAACACCTCTTGCTAATGGAATAGTCAGCTCCAGTTTATTTAGCTAACTCAATTTGGGGAATGATCAAGAATAGCCATGCACACAAATGCAGTACTAATTTCCCATCATTGCAAAGTATGAAGCTACTTACAGGCCGAGGCTGTCCTGAGAAGCGTTTGTTGTAATCGCTGATGTCATAGACAATTTGTTTGCTCTGATTGTCCTGCTGTTTTTCACAAGAGATCTTGTAAAGAAGAATAACCTTCAGGTGAAAAGAAGCAGCATTTTAGGGTCAAACTCACCAACACAAGCTTTCCTTCTCGCTTTTAAAATCACTGTATCTTATAGTTTTATTGGGGCTTATCTCTTTGACCCTTGCTTATCAGTTTTGACCTGCAGTGGGCAAATTTCCTCCATGGCAGGCTCTTTTCCATATTCTGAGACCTTTGTGATTTCTACCAATGTCATATGCATGCAGCCAGTGACGAGGGTGAGATGAGGATAAGAATTTTATCTTAGGTGAGAGAATGCTATGCCAAAGAACCAACCAGCCATAATAAAAAGCCTGCTGCAGGCACCCTGTTTAATATTTGATAGGTGGTCCTGATCTGACAGGCAAGAGATGAGAGATGCAGATGGTTATGGCTCTGGAAAAATCTACCAGGATGTAAATCTACCAGGATCAGTCTCGTATCTTTCCACCTCTCCTACTAACTGCCAAAGCACAGATGATTACAAATAAAATTCTTGCCTTTTGTCTGCAGAGTGGACAGTTTATTGCTCCTAGCCAAGATCCATGTTTCCAGTATTCAATCAGACAGGAGCCTAGAAAAAAGATGAATTACTCTTATAAGAACTGGAAGGAAAAAAAAACTACTTGCACAGCTGAAAGACAACAGTCAACTTTTTCCATTGTGTCAGCAAGCCAGTGAAGACAACGAACAACATTATATGGATTAAAATAGGTTTATTGAATGGTTGGTTTGCATCATCACACTGGAGATTAACTTTAAGGGCAGGCTGCAAGTAAGGCAATGCAGTGGCTACTTGCATTCTGGGCAACTTCAGCAGTGCTCTGAGCATGGCCAGCACTCCCACCAGATTTGTTTACCCTCACCTACATGTTAAGTGTGCCAAGAGAGGCACAGCTTTATTCCACTCCTCCAGTATACCTTTCTGGCAAGGGTTTGGTTCATACTGCTCAGCACCAAAGTCATTCCCTCTGTTACCCACACTGCTGCTCAAGCAAATAGTGGGTTGTTTTTGGAATGGCCCTTCATCCTTAGATGCCTCAGGGTGCTCACCAATGAGCCCTACCTGTGTTGAGCAGGCAACACTATTCCTGCCATCCCTAGTTAGAATCTAAGCAGTCTTTAGACAAGGCTTATTTAAATATAATACCCGTATAACAACATGAAATAATTTTTATACTTTAAACAAAAAAACTGTGTTGTAATAGGTGATTTTAACTACCCACACATTGATTGGGTCAATATATGTTCTAGTCGAGAAAAAGAGATTGAGTTTCTAGACACTCTAAATGACTGTGCTATGGAGCAGATGGTCACGGAACCTACCAGGGGAGAGGCAATCCTTGATTTGGTCCTAAGTAACACTCAAGACCTGGTGAGAGATGTAAAAGTGATTGCACCGCTTGGAAACAGTGATCATAATGTTGTTGAGTTCAACATTTGTACAAATAGGGAATTGGCCAAAAGACTCACACAACCACTTTTAACTTTAAAAGGGGTAATTTTTCTGATATGAGGGGACATGTGGGGAGGAAACTGAAGGGAAAAGTAGAAAGGGTCAAAACCATTGGGGAAGCTTGGAAACTGTTTAAAACTACAATTCTAGAAGCTCAAATAAAATATATTCCGCAGGTTAGGAAAGGCACAAACAGGTATAAGAAAAAGCCTACATGGTTAACAAACAAAGTAATGGAAGCTGTAAAAGGTAAAAAGGATTCCTTTAAGCGGTGGAAAGCTAGTCACAGTGAGGCTGATAAAACAGAACACAGGCTATGGCAAATAAAATGCAAGTCTGTGGTCAGGCATGCAAAAAGGGAATATGAGGAGCATATAGCAAAAAATGTAAAGACCAACAATAAAACTTTCTTCAAATACATTAGAAACAGGAAACCAGCCAGGGAGGCAGTGGGGCCCTTGGATGACCAAGGGGTAAAAGGAGTACTGAAGGATGATAGGGAAATGGCTGAGAAGCTAAATGCATTTTTTGCCTCCGTCTTCACTGTGGAAGATGAGAGGTGCTTGCCCACTCCAGAGCCGCTGAGTTCGGGAGGGGTGTTGAAAGACCTGAGTCAGATTGAGGTGACGAGAGAGGAGGTCCTAAAACTGATAAACAACTTAAAAACTGATAAATCACCAGGCCCAGATGGCATACATCCAAGAGTTCTGAAAGAACTCAATTGTGAACTTGTGGATCTCCTGACAAAAATATGTAATCTCTCCTTAAAATCAGCCTCCATTCCTGAGGACTGGAAGGTAGCTAATGTCACTCCCATCTTTAAAAAGGGTTCCAGAGGAGATCCGGGAAATTACAGGCCTGTCAGTCTGACGTCGATACCGGGTAAATTGGTGGAAACCATTATTAAGGAAAGAATTAGTAGGCACATAGATGAACAAAACCTATTGAGGCAGACTCAACATGGGTTCTGTAAGGGAAGATCTTGTCTCACTAACCTGTTAATGTTCTTTGAGGGGGTGAACAAACATGTGGACAAGGGGGATCCAATAGATATTGTTTACCTTGACTTCCAGAAAGCTTTTGATAAAGTTCCTCATCAAAGGCTCCTAAGCAAGCTCAAAAATCATGGGATAAAAGGACAAGTCCTTTTATGGATCAAAAACTGGCTAATTAATAGAAAACAGAGAGTGAGTATAAATGGGCAGTTCTCCCAGTGGAGGGGTGTAAGCAGTGGGGTACCACAGGGATCAGTACTTGGTCCACTGCTTTTTAACTTGTTCATTAATGATTTGGAGTTGGGAGTAAGCAGTGAAGTGGCTAAATTTGCGGATGATACGAAGTTGTTCAGGGTGGTGAAAACCAGTGAGGATTGTGAGGCACTCCAAAGGGATCTGTCAAAGTTGGGCGAGTGGGCGTCAACATGGCAAATGGGGTTCAATGTGGCCAAGTGCAAGGTGATGCACATTGGAGCCAAAAATCCTAACTATAAATACACGTTGATGGGGTCTGAACTGGCAGAGACAGATCAAGAGAGAGATCTTGGAGTTGTAGTAGATAACTCACTGAAAATGTCGAGACAGTGTGTGACTGCAATAAAGAAGGCCAATGCTATGCTGGGGATTATTAGGAAGGGTATTGTAAACAGATCAGCCAATATCATAATGCCGCTATATAAATCAATGGTGCGACCTCATCTGGAATACTGTGTGCAATTCTGGTCACCACACCTTAAAAAGGATATTATAGCTTTGGAAAAAGTGCAGAAAAGAGCAACTCGAATGATAAAAGGGTTGGAACACTTTCCCTATGAGGAACGGTTAAGGCGCTTAGGGCTCTTTAGCTTGGAGAAACGACGACTGAGGGGTGACATGATTGAGGTTTATAAGATTATGCATGGGAAAGAGCAGGTAGAGAAAGAGGTACTTTTCTCCTCTTGGTGCTTGGGGGGGTCAACAGTGGGAGGGCTTCTAATGTCCTGGCCCCACTGCTGGACCTCCTGATGGCACCTGGTATTTTTGGCCACTGTGTGATAGAGTGTTGGACTGAATGGGCCTTTGGCTTGATCCAACACTGGTGTCTCTTATGTTCTTCCTGAACCAATTCAAGGAGATTAAAAAAATCCTGCTGAGCTCCTAAAGGTGATCAACCAATCCCATACTGATCCTAAGGGAGGATGGATTGTCCAGCGCCACACCACAAAATCCTCTCAGGCTCTTCTGTCAGTCAAGCACCAGCCCAGCAAACTGGTAACAAGAATTTAACCTGCAAGTTCTGTAGTTTGGGTACTCTGCAGGGGGCAGAGATGAAAACACCTGTTATCAGAGTCTTAGATCCAAAAGTACTACAGCTGGAGCAAAGCTCACTGAATGCCACCTTCTCACTTCCCCCCTTCCTGTTGCAATCCACTGAGCCCCCACCCCCAATTCTGCTCCTGGGAACTGGGGAGCCCTCATGAGTAGATTGGTGGGTGAAGTGGAAGCCTGACATGGGAGGGAGGAAATCAACACGCACACACACCCAAGTCACTAAGATGAAAAACTCCAACGTGAACTAACAATATTGCTCACAGGAGTAAAATTCAAAACATAATTTTAAGGTATTGCACTGCAATGACAGTTCACAGAGAAAATTAGCACAACATTGCAAGGCCTTAAGAATTAAGTTTCAGATGTTACTTTTCTGACTTGACCCACTTACAACAGCAGAGAGGAAGGAAGGAACTACAGTGCCCTCTCTACCCAGGCTATTTGTGCTCTTCCACATTTTCATAATTGAGATCGAATCTATGTTTAATCCAGCTTTCTGCAGAGTTTATTGAGGCCCTCACAAATCATTCTGTTGGTTATTAGCAATTCGAGAAAAATAATATTGGCCTGGGATCAGCTTTCTAGCCTGTTTCCTGGACATATGGTTTGAGATACAGCTGGAATTCAAAATGTCTTGGAAGAAACATAGGAACACCCCACATTAAAACAATCATACAACCCCCCCCCCAAATTATAGTCAATTGCCCTTTAAAAGCTAGCACATAATGTGAATTTTAGGTATGACATTTGCCTATCTTTGCTTCTATTGATATCAATTAGAATGAAATAACCGACTTTCAAGTGAAATTTCCTTAGAAAGAGTTAGCCTGTGCATGTCATCTTAGGTTTTACTTAATATATGTGTGTGTACACACACACACACACTAATCTTGCAAGGGGGTGCAAGAAAGAGCTTGAAATTATGTTGTTGCTTGCTACTGTCCATGATAGTGTGTGAATTGACTCATTAACTCAAGGCATCTGGACTAGTTTATAGAATTAAGTTACAGATTTATCAAACTTACCCAAGATTCTATCCATTCTTCTCAGTGGGAACCTTAACTATTGGACACTGTATTCATTTATGCTCTGTGCTTATAGCACTTTATTTATTTGTTATTTATTAATTTATTATTTATTAATTAGACTTTTAGCCCTCCCTCCCCTGCACTGCAAGGCTCAGGGCAGGTTACAAAATTTAAAATACAGTAACAGTTAAAATCAGTTCATCAATTAATTACAAAACTTTCAGCACCCACAATTTCTCAAGAGATGGCAAGTAAGAGGCAAGATAAGGGCATGGTCCATGATAGCAACCCATCGCTTATCCTTGACCATATGCCTGGTGGAATATCTCTACCTTATAGGCCCTGCAGAATTGTTCCAAGTCCCACAGGGCCCCGGTCTCATTTAAAACAGAGTTCTACCAGATTGGTAGAATGAATGAATTTTATTGTTACAGCACATAGCCAGCAATTATAAAAAACCATAAAAGTAACTTACAATAACCAAATGGTAAAACTACTTTAAAAACAAGAAGGTTACTAAGGAACAACATTAAGCGGTCATTTTGATCACTAAAACCAGACTTAAGAATACGCTGCAATGGAATACATTTAAAGGAGTAAAATAGAATGACAAAAAAGGCAATAAGATTTAAAATCAAAAAGTCCTATCCCAAGTGACAACCAGAACACTGATGAGCTTTTACGACCAAGGAGCAAAATTTTGCAATGTCTGGATTTCAATGTCTAAAATATCCAGATGGTGAATCTATTTATGTAAAATTATACAAGCATTTTAAAATCTAAAACCAACAATACAATGTAAAAAGGACATAATTTAGTCTTAAAAAGATAAAAGAATGAGAATAAAAAAGTCAGTTATTTGGGAGGGAATCTAACCCAAGTGGCTACCTGAACACTGATGAGCTTTTACAACCAGAAAACAGAATTTTGCTATCTGGTGTATCGCTGTATGGTCAGGATTTAAAAGTAATTTCTCTATCTTATCCTGATCAGAGGAGCCAACCAAGAGAGGACCAATACATTTTGTGCGAGCTTCGTTATATAATGGGCATCTCAGGAAGACATGTTCCTGAGATTCTATCTCCCCAGACGCACACATGCATAGCCTCTCATTTCGGGGAGTTTTCTTGAATTTACCCTCGAGAACTGCAGAAGGTAAAGCAGAGCATCTAGCCAGCGTATACGCCCTCCTAAGTTTATTTGACTCCAGAATGGATAAGTAAGGGGCTTGAGCAACAATATATTTACTACTGTAAGGCGCTAAAAAGGCAGGGGTCGCCTGTACGTCCAGTTGGCGTTCAATATCTTCAATCCTCTGCCTGACCACTAGCTTAGCTTGAGCATCCCCCCTTTCCAAAAGCTCTTTGGGTGAAAACCCTAGTAGTGTAATTTTCCGAATAGTATGGGTCAGCCATTTAGATTGGTAATCGTCAGTCAGGATTAAGGGCACAAGGCCACATGGATTTAGGTTTATCTTTAACCAAAGAAAAATAGAGTGCAAGGTGATCTTGGCTTCAACTTTCATCATGCCAGTCTCTAGCCGTACCATTGCATTTGTAACACACCTTGGGACTTGGAGCACTGATCTCAAAAATTTCGATTGAACCAGCTCTAGTGGGGCATAGCAAGAAGATGTCGCTCCCAGTAGCGTCCCAGATTGGTAGACAGAGAGTTCTACCTTTTCAGCCCTGGCTCTGGTCGAGGATAGCCAGATGGCTTTCCGACCAAGGATCACCAGCAAGTTGGAATCACCTGAGTGTAACGCTCTTTGGGGGACATACCAGGAGAGGCAGGCCCCAGATTGTTTAGGGCTTTAAAGGTCAACACCAGAACCTTGAACCTGATCTGGTATTCAACTTGGAGCCAGATCAGCTGGCGGGGCACTGGTTGAATATATTCTCTCAATGGGGTTCCTGTAGGAACTTGAATATCAAAACAAGATAAGAGCAGAAAGAATGGGCATTATGTGGGTCTGTTTGAACAATGAAAGGTTCTGTCAGCTTATCTAGATAATGGGATCACTTCTAGTAAGTTCAAGTTAGATGTACTGGAACATGGTTAGTCAACTCTGATGCTTTTTCAGGACAAATATGTTATTGAGGAAAATGTACAGCTACGGCAGTGGGAAACAGAATAATATTCTTTTAACTAGGTACTCTATGATGCTAGGTAACAGAGCAGACTTGATGTATTCTGAAGTGGATGTATTCTGTGTTGAACTGGAATCATATTTCTCTTACAAACATCTTTTATAGTGAGAATTTTCCAGCTACTATTTTGTAAAATCAGCTTTGTACAAGCAGAATGGTATAAAGGAAAACTTGTCTACAGGATTAAGGGTTCTTTAAGTGTTTCTTGTTACCCACTGATTGAATACAGCTGTATCCAGCTGTGAGGAAAGCACATGGCTGGGGATTATGACTCTGAGAAGCCTCCCCGCTTTGCAAAGAGTAAACAGGGCCTCTTAATCTTGACCTGACACATCCTGAGCATTCCCAGTTATAATATGCTATTTACAACTTGATATTCAA